ACAAGAGATTATGCACCATGATCAAGAGATTATACTTGTCATGATTATGGTCATTCCAGTTCACACGATGACTATGCATCAAGAGGCTACCATGATATAGATGGTCATGATCATGATGAATCAGATCATCCAAGTGGAGGTTCCTGCAGAGATTCATCTAAGAGTTATGGTAATTTATGTAGTGCTCCACCTACACCAGGGACCCCGCCATCTTACAGTGGAAGCAGTTGCTATTATGATTACCACAGCTTGCGTGATAGATATGGTGGAAGTTGAGACAGTTACTCAAACAGCCAAAGTGATCCCTAATCAAGTGGTTGTGATCAGATTGGCAGACAAGAAAGAGGTTTTCCCCCTCTATGAAAAGGGGGGATTCCTGCAGCAGTTCAAGCTGAGGAGCACCAAGAGGTAGTGGCCATTGAGGAGCCAGTCTCATAGAGGGGTAGAGGCAGAAGCAGATACTGGAAACAAACAAAACTTTGGACCAAAATCTTTGTTCAAAGAAACAAACAAAAAGTAAAAACGATTGTCATAACTACCCAAAGACTACTACAAGGAAAGATTGTGTTACCTTTCTAAAATTTCCTGTCAAGCTCCCCTCTGTAATTTTTATGTTCTTGTGAGGAAAAAAGTAAAACATGTTTAATTTTATTTGACTTTATGTCATTGCTTTCAACAAGCAAATGTTAAATGCGTAAAACTTAACTTGTTATACTAGGGCTGTAATTTTCCAAGTAAAAGTGTCCCTAAAGGCCACTTCCTATCTGATTTTTCCCAGCAAATGAGGCAAGCAATTCTAAGATCTTCCACAAACATCTAGCCATCTGAAATGGAGAAACGAATCGTCCTGCCTATACAAACAAGCTAGCTATGGCAGGGTAGCTGGGGTGTGCTACTCTTAGAATTTTAGGATGTCTTCAAACTGAAATCTCAGTGTACTCAGTATGAAAAACCTGAAATCAGATGCCTATATAAGGAAAGCAGTATTCACCCAGTAAACCCAAAACAAATGGATTTTCTATTGTATCTCTTTCTTTTATTTTCAAGGTAATATGAGGGCACATATAATTAGGTTATATAGCTGGCTTTTTTAAGTTTAAAATCCAAGTTGTGGTTTGGTCCTTCACCCAGGAAATGTGCCGTATACCCACCCAATGTAATCATATCTCTTTCTGTTCCACATATTATTCACACACACACACACAGACACACACACCAGTACGCACACGTTATTATTTTAGCCTTCTTATTATCCATTTAGAACAAAGGCTTATTTTTAAAATATAGTTTTTAGTGGACTCAATGTGTCTTCCACACAGGACACACTTAACAAACACTAACTTCCCACTTGCTCAATAATTGAAATGATCTTCATTGACCCTAAGGGTTAAGAGAAGCCAAAAACTTTTAGGTTTTTCCACATACTCCCTGTTATCACCTATGTCTTAGAAATGGCACAGTCCAGATAACAGAATACAGCATACTAGAAAAGCCAGTGGCACAGCAAAAAAAATTGAACTAAATTTTGCAAGATTTAACACCAACAGATGGTCCAATAAGATCTAAATGCTAACGCTGACTGGACTTTTTATTTTTCAGTCATCAAAATGATTTTAGAATCCTAGCATTTATTCTTCACTTTCCTTTTTCATCTTTCCCATTCCTTGGTTGTGGACATATGCCTACATTCATTCATTCATTATGGTCAATAAATTTTTATTGAGAAACTACAATGTTCTAGACACTGTGCTAGGGTCTAAAACCCAAAAGGTAATGAAGGAGGACTATAGGATTTTACAATATCAAAGATGAATGTACCTAATGAATGTGCACTCTCACTTTAACCTACAACTTCATTCTCAAAACACATGCACTGCATATTTTTTTCCAAATTTTATGAAGTGGATATAAGAGGAAGAAAGTAAATGAAAGAAAATGGAAGGCATCTGTGGGGCAGGAAGCAGCTGGCTGTGGGCTCAATTCTTCTACTGCTGACCAGGTATTATTGTCCTCCCAGTCAGTCTGCAAAGGCTGAAGCAACCCACCAGCTTTTCAGATGACCCTCCAGTTCTCTGCACCTACAGCCAGCTCAACTCTTCTTCCAGATAGCCAGTGCACAGCACACCTGTCCAAGAGAGACAAGGACACTGCCCAGTGAGACAAGGACACTCCAGCATCACATAGCAAGATAAGCTGGGCAACCCTGAAAGTTTACTTTCCCCTGGGCATTTGGATGTAGTTAAGAAAGTACACAAAAACATGGCTCTTTAGGCCCCAAAGTTTCCTGGCATAGCTGTGCAACAGCCCATTAGTGGCCAGCAAGTTAAATGCAGTCCAGCTGCCCTAGATCTAGAGTTTGGCTGCCTCCAATCCATGTGGTTCTGCCTCCTTTCCTCACTGGCACATTAGCCACCCCCATTAGGCATCTAAAATGGTGTGTAAGTGCTGTGCTTGGAATAAACATAATTAAGAGTCTAAGGAGGACTGAAGGGCTAACCAGGACTTTCATTAGGGATTATTCAGCTGAAGGTAATTAAAAAACAGATGATCAGGGAGAAAGCAGCTCATCCTTTGAGTTCCTTGGAAACCTGACATAATTGTAGGACACCCTAGATACCCAGAGGACTTTCCTGAAAGAGTGACTCCCTTAACCCTTTTCATAGACGATGCATGGGATAAAATAATTGAAAAAAGGAAAACTAAATGGCTTTCCATTACTCTGAATACAAGTACCCACTTGCAGATCTGTGGTTAAACTGTACCCAGAAAAATTAAGTTCTTCAATGTTTAGACAGAAATTTACCAGGAGAAAGAAAATAATATTAAGTTGTACTAAATAATAGAATTAAAAATCAAGGTCATCAAAGTGTACGTCCTCCTTCTGGACTCCGATGTGATCTCATCATACATTCATGCCTCAGTTTTGAACACTCTTAAAAGACAGTAATATGGCCACATTAACATGGTAAGATAATGAATGTTTAGTAAGTCACACTAAGTCACACTAGTCACACTAGAATCAAGACAGACAAAATCAGCACCCACAGAGGATAGTTCAGGAAGATGTTTTAGTTTGCATTAATCCAAATGACCAGAAAATGATTGATATCTATTTTGCTCCATTAGCAATTGCTTTCAGGTATCTTGAAAAAATAAATGGTTACATTTATCTGAGAGCACTTGTTTAATACAAAATTGTAAATTATTTTCTTGACACTAATGTACACCAGGTAAACATTTCATACCATGTCAGTGATCTGCCACTCCAACAAACTTTGGGAGTGAACTTCATCCCCTCTCACCTCTGATCTTCTCGGTGGAGCTAAAGATCTTACCTCTATGATGTTGGTGGGATTGCGGATGTAGATTCCAGATGGTGTCAGCATCTCAGGGTTGGAGAGGCCCTCGGCACCAGAAACACCGATGATCACATTGTTTCTTACTATATTTCCCACTTCTGACCAGTCTAATTTACAAAAAGACAAATCAACCCAGAGGAATGCACAAACATAATTAAAATGCACACAACTCAACACTTGTGATTCTACTAATACACATTAGAGTTCACATAACGCATTTTATACATGTGCATATGCGTGTGTATGTATATACGGACATTTAGAAAGTATGCTAAATAAATGGAAAATATTTAACATTTTGTCATCAGGCCTATCTACAAAATATATGATGAATTTAAATAAATTGCAATAGACTTAAAATCACTTTACATATTTACCCTTTTTTCTTCCAGGAATAGCCTCCCAAGAGATATGTCTTATCTCCATGAATGTCCCTGAGAAGAAAAGACCACGTTACTTCAGCCTCCCCTATGATACTCAGCGAAGCAAGGGACACTGCAATGCTCTTTCTTCTTTGGATTTAGTGTTTATGTTTTTATCTATGAACCCGAAACAAAGATACAGATCATATGGACTCTCTAGTTCTAGAAGAGTAGCATTAGTCAGAAGTTTATTTTAAAGAAAAAGAAGAACAGAGAATAGCTCTCCTGCTTTACTTTGTGGGAGGAGTCTTAAACACATGTCTCCATAGTTAGAAGCCACCAGCTCCAGCCCCATTCCTAACTATTCAAATTGAACATGAGCTATCTGCATGCCCCTATCTTCACCTAGAGCAGCAATTCTCAACCTGTGGGTCACAAACCACAGGAACTGTATTAAAGGGCTGCAGCTTAGGAAGGTTGAGAACCACTGCCCTAGAGAATCTGGAATGTCCTAGAGGAATATGCTGGACAGTACCTTACCCTTATACCCAAATGACTAAGGTTGCAATAGAATAGAAAAGCTATTAGCCTGGGCTGTGCTATGAAGAGAGATTAGTTACTTATGAGGTATCAATAAGGAACAATCCCCTATCCCCCTCATTATTAATTCTTTAGGAATCTAGGCACCCTCTGCCATTTCCCATGTCTGGTTTGCAAACTTGTTATGCACAAGATTGCATTAATAAATATGTTAATTCCCTTAACTTGTGGTGCAATAGATAGCAAGGGCCTATATAATTCACAACATCCAAGCACTAAGGGCTAAATTCCTCCTACAGCCTTTCCTCCTTGCCCAGTTAATGTGTATTCCACATATTGTTGTCCCTTGGCACACCCGGAGAATTGCTTTCAGGTTCCCCATGGATACCACAGTCCTGGCTTTCTCAGGTCCTTCTGTGGGCCCTTCAGAACCCACAGATAGAAAAAGTTGACTCTGGCCAGATGCAGTTACACCTGTAATCCTAGCACTCTGGGAGGCCAAGGGAGGTGGATTGCTTGAGCTCACAAGTTCAAGACCAGCCTGAGCAAAAGCAAGACGCTGTCTCTACTAAAGATAGAAAAACTGAGGCAAGAGGATTGCTTGAGCCCGAGTTGGAGGTTGCTGTGAACTATGACACCACAGCACTCTATTTAGGGTGAGAGCTTGAGACTGTCACAAAAAAATAAATAAATAAAATAAAATAAATTAAAAAGAAAAGAAAAAGTTGACCCTCCTGTATTAGCAAGTTTCACGTCCTGAAAACACTGTATTTTCAATCCAACTTTGGTTGCAGATGTGGAACCCATGGCTATAGAAAAACAACAGTCACTAATTTTTTTAAAAATCCCCAGGGACATAGCCTAATGCCATGTTAATAGTTAGCTATAATTTTTTTCTGTTAAAATAATATTATTATACCTTCCTAAATCTCCACTCAAGTTTTCACTGTTCCCCTTGCACATACAAAAGTAAGAACAAACAAAATCAGTCCTGCACCTGTCACCTTTCCTGTGGCTGCCCTTCTCTAATCCAAAGACTTTCCTGCACCTGACCGCCTCATTGGTTCCTGGTTCTTTGTCTTTTAGAGTTGGAGTGTGTTTTAAAGCAAGTTGATATGATTCATATTTTCCTCTCAGGATTAGAATCTTTCTAGATTTCATCTCAACAGATTGTTCTTAAATGAAACACGCATTTTCCCACTGATGATATCACAGAATTTATTTAAATATAAAGCAACATTTAACAAATACTGTTAGAGTTTTCCTTTCAGTGAAAGCCTCTGATTTGCCCTTTTATTCTGATACAACCACAGACCCTTTGTTCATTTCTTTCAATTAACAGACCTAAAACATCCTCGTTAATACACATATGCTAGGAGAGAAAATGAATGCCCTCTGAATTCTGGTCATAAAAAGACATTAATCAAATGATAAAAAATATGGCGTACAATTTTAATCAAGAAGTGTCAGTAAGGGCTTAAGGAATTTAAACAGAGGGATCTAGGTGGAATCTAGGGGGAAAAGATCTTGCAGGAGGAGAATGAGTGGCATGAACAAAAGGGAAAGAGCTTGCACAAAGGCCCTGAGGCAGGAAAAAGTGGGGTCCTTTAATTTGGAAACATTAAAGTAAGTCAGTGTCACTAGACTAAATAGGAAGATGAAGAGAGTAAGACATGTTCATAGAGGCTAACAGAGGCAAAATCACCGTCAGGGTCATTTAGATCTGGGTTTTGAGTTGTATTCTAAAAGAAATAAAAAACTCATCAAGTGTTTAAGTAGACAAGTAATATGACGCGACATGGGATTCTTACAGATCCTTCTGGGTTTTATAAGTGGAATGAACTTTAGGAAACAAGTGGATACATATGATCAGTTAGAAGATTCTGAAACAGGCTTCCTTACCAAACCACAGAATTTAAGATTTTTAAGTCCTTGGACATCTAAGTTGGACAATCTTAGAGACTGTACAAAGACCTAATTGTGTAACTATGTGACTTAGAATTAATTATTGTGAAATTACTGGCAGTAACTTTTAAAACTCTCATTATATGCTCATCAATCTAAACTGAACCTTTGAAAAATGTTTGCTGTTGGTAAAATTGAGCAAGCCAATCAGTGATTGCTAAATTTAAATTTAGAATTTTTATCTATGGCCTATTTCTAATAACCAGAAGGCCAACATTTTTATAAATTGGAAATTCAATTTTGGAGGATAGCACCTCATGAAAAACCATGTGTCCAACTTAAAAATACAGAAATTAAACAAGCTGATTGCACTTACCCACCAGCAAGGCATGGCCTAAAATGTTGTAGAAAATATTACTGTCCACCTTCAAGCCAACAGTCCTGCATATGCCGAGGCCTCTACTGAAGGAGTTCCGCACCGTGCAGCCCTGCACATAGGAATCTGAGTAGGAAAGAATACGGAAAAGATTACAAATGGGTCTCAAAGTTTCCTCAGATTCCGCTGACCATATTTAAACCAAGCTAGACGATAGCTAAAAGCATTCTCTCGTGCAGTAATGAAACTCAGGAGATCAAAATTTAGAAGTAGCAATCACATCAAGAAAGAGGAAGAGGGTGAAATTCATGGACCCAGTGTTAGAAAAGAAAATAATCTGAGATGGAAAACAGTTCAAACCACAAAAGAACACAAGGCAGGCAAGATTTCCAGGCAGCCATCGTTTTTGCTATCAGCTCTCATCACAATATGGCAGGTGAGAAGTTAAGCACAATGTGAAGCGTTACACCTCTGGGCCAAGCCTGATCCTGATCTTTGAAAACTGCATTTGGCATGAGGAAACATAGTCATTATTTCTTGAGCTATAATTTAATATTTATAACTTCCCAGGCAATAATATTCTTGGCCCAAGACAACCAAAGATTCTTATTCCAAATTGTAAGCACGGTCAAAGTTTGACCTGAGGATCATTTGAAAGTAGTAAGTTTATAAAGCTAAAGAGGATGTATCCTCTACCATGATAAAAGAAACTGACATTGAGGAAATCATTACACTAACTCCACAGGCATATCCTATGATCCCCCAAATCTGGTTATATAACCTAGATCAGTCAATAAACACCCACTGTTTACTGGGTGTCAATTATATGATTTAGGAATTGTGCACTGTATTGGGCTGGAAGTAAGAAAGTTGAAAAAAACTAAGTAAAAACTGTATATCTTCAATCTGATGGGGGAAACTGACATTAAAACAACCACAATTTATTATTTTAATGATTAAATTATAAGTCCTGGTGGGAGAAAGGAGCTTTGTGTTATTACCAGGTAGGGAGAATGACATTTATTGATGCCACATATTTGGGATATTGGAAAAATTACTTTGGGTTATGGAATAATCTGACTTTTAAAAATGGGACTATCTAGAAAATTCTGAACTGTAATGTCCCTCTAAATTCTGGACCTCCACATTCATCTCAATCTCAGCTCTATTAGTCCAGGTGCCATCTCATTACTCAACAAGAATCCACCTCAATAAATTGACCTAGCTATACCTACTCTGTAGAAAAGACTGCCTATGGTGGACAGAATCTCCACCATAATTATCACCTAATCAGAGAATGCCTGCCCATGTGAACAACCAGTAAATACTAATGTGTTCTTATAGCTCCTGCAGATGGTGTTCAGGGACTGGTAAACCTTTACAATACATTGTATGAAGAGCCTAACACCTTCTAACTCAGGTGGCTGGGGACAATTTGCCCCACAGGGCATGAGGGCCTTCAGGACATGAAACAACGAAAGAGTTTGGGGTAAGCATGCCAGCCAGAAGTCTCTAACCTCTGGATTAACGTGTTACTCCCATCTCAGGAAGCATACTTGAATTTTAGGGATTTACAGGCCTAACGCATTAATGCAGTGATTTTCAAATTCTTTTTAAGCACTTGAACATTTTTCAAATAAAACTCATATATAAAAATAAACAAAAGTGTAGGTTGGGGGGGATAGGTTAGGTAAAATTTGAGCAAGGGAGGGTTTTGATTATGTTCAATCGACAAATGTTCTGCAGCCTTGTAAGCAACAGGAGACCAAAGAGGCAGAAAAGAAGGCAGGAGGACACAAATTGACCCAATGTGCTAGGGAAGGGATCAAGGTAGGAACCATCCCCCTAAATGATGAAAGAAAAGAAAGAAAGAGGAAGAAAGAAAGGGAAAGAAAGAAGGTGAGGGGAGAGGAAGAAAGAGAGAGAGAAGGACAGAGGCGGGATGGAAGGGGCAAGAGAGAGAGAAAGAGAGGAAGGAAGGGAGGGAGGAAGGAAGGAAGGGAGGGAGGAAGGAAGGAAGGGAGGGAGGGAGGGAGGGAAGATCTGGAAAATTGAGGTAAATATACATCTTTGGCATGCAGATAATCTGAAATGAGTAATAATGTTGCAGTTGGAGCCAGGATCCTAGTTTTAAAAACCTTAAAGACTTACCTTTGAAATCCTAGCATCTCTCAGGGTCCACATGCACCACCAAGGACCCTTACATCCTTTGCCAAGCATAAGCTTCGGAACCCCTCAGAGCACCACCCCTTTCTTTAAACATGTGGGTGCTGTGCATGCTAGGGATGGGGATTTCATTTCATTCAGAAACGAAGCTGCTGTCCTGACTACGTGCCATCTGCAGCCCAGTTCTCTGACTCTCTACATGCCAACTTTGGCATCAGGTTTTTGCCCTGGAAGTTCCTATATCCAACTTTGGTTTCAGAATCTTTATCAGCACATCTGATCATATTCTTTTTTTGGTGTATTGATCTCATTTTCCATCTAGTTGCTCTCACCTGGATTTGATGTTTCTTGCTCCTTTGTGGAATCTTCAGCTCTAACCAAGATCTGCACATCTGCCAATTCCTTGTTCCCAGGAAAGCACCCAGATCCCAGCCTGATGGGACCCATTTTCCCACACAGAAGATTCCCGAGTTAGGACAACTTCACTAGAAGTGCCTCCTGCTGTGCCTCGACTCCCACAGTACTGATTATGTATGCTATTTCATGTCACAGAGCTACTGAATGGTGAGAGGCAGAATTCAATCCAGGATTGTGGGTTCACTCCCTCGGGCTATACTTACAGTGATATTTCTCAAAATGTACTCCTGGGACATCTTATTCCAGAATCACAAGGTTTGCACATTTAAAATTCAGATCCCTAGAACCACCTTAGACCAGAATGTGTTGGGATAAGGTCTATAATTCTGAATTCTAATAAGTTCTACAAGTAATTTGTTTAAGCATACTAAAGTTTAAGAACCACTGATGTAGAATATAAACAATCATCCATTCTCTGAATTCCTCAAATCCCACATCCCACCTATAATGACCCTCTGCAAATAGTATCTTAAGAATAGGAAAATAAAGAAAAATTAGGAGGTCATAGATCTGGACCCCCTTACCTCTCAGTGTTCCCACCAGAGTGAGTGAGCTCAGATGCTTCTGGAAGGCTTGCCCCAAGTCTTGGAATTGCACTCCCTTCAACTGGACCAAGCTGGGCTCTTCTGGGAAAGACTGAATGATCACACTGGCCCCCAGATCTCTAGATCCCAGCATCTTCTCACTCATGGAATACAAACAGCGCTTCCAATTACCTAAAATGCAGAATAAAGTCCAGAAGACCTAAGGCATATAGAACATGCTTCTAGACAAATCCCCCAGTTTGAAAGGCACTGTCAGCACAAAGGACAAACCATCATTGTTTATTTTGTTCAGTAATCTTACTTCCCTTTTTCTTTGATTCTCCTCCGTACATTATTAATTAAAAGATCCTATAACTAGGACCATGATATTGCCTTCACTCTATTATTTCCAGAAACTCTAAATCAATCACCTTAATTACTGTCACAAAAAGGCAGACTCTAACCCACAAACCCAACTTAAATAGATGCTTATTTCAATCCAAAAGATCCCCTGGAGGGAATGAGGAATAAAATGACCTTCTCGCGGTTTATAATTGTAGGGAAGAGAAGTGAGCACCGAACACAATAACAGCACTTTGTAGTGTTACAAGCTGTGCAGTGGGGTTTCCCCTTCACGGTACTATTTTAGAGTTTGGGGACCTAGCAATAATGCCACTAGAGAAATGGCAAAGGGCTCCAGAGAAGCAGCTGAACAACTCCTGTACCAACACCTCCGTCCCCAGCTAAGTTGATAGTGAGGACAGCAAACTACCTCAACGTCACACACACAACTACTGCTGCTACAAAATGTTGCCAACTCAGGGTCCAGGGCATTTTCTGTTGACACATGGCATTTAGTGGTATGAGCTAATCTCAGAATGGAGAAGTCATCTCCTGAATTGAGTCTTTGTTATTCATGTTAATGAACCAAAGAAATGCCCCCCCCAAAAAATGCGTCATTCTACAGTAAATTTGAGCCCAGTGATTTGGTAACACCCACAGAATACACATGATGTATGGTGGCCATAAAGTCCATGTGCAATATGGCCACCCTGTTTAGAGGCAAGCGAAGAGGTATTTTATATCTGTATGCTTTATCACAATTTTGATTATTTGTGCCAGTGACCCACAGCATTTTTGAATGGCCAGATCTTATGGTATTGGATTCAGCTACCTTATTCTCACACGTTAATTCCACACAAAGAAGGGGTAAATGACTTATTTTGAAAATATTGTAATTATGTTTAAGATATGGGATGAAATCAAGGATGTTCTCCATTGGAAGCTTACAGATTTATGATGGCGTAAACCTAGAAGCATGGTCTCACTAGCAGCATGCCAAATATCATGGTTTTTAAATGTATAATCTGAGAATACCTGTATGAGAATTACCAACAGAGTTTGAATAGAATGCAGATCCCAATTCACAGAATTGTTCATGTTGGCAGTCAATGTATTCTAATCCATTGTTATCCAAACAATTTCTTCAAAAGGACACATTTATCAGTAGGTGACTCAAGTGGGGGGAGGCAGAGAGGTCAATGTCCCTCTCCACTAGTAACAAATCTGCACACCCAAACTCATGGTAGCATTATGCCCACATGTGTCAATATGTAGACATGACACAAATCTTTCACGTTCCACAAATCCACAGGCATCTCTTCTCAGTTGCTGTCCTAGCATCTCAGTTTCGACAGGTATAAATTTAAACTCATGTTCACCACCCTCCCACCCCAAAATCTGCTCCTCTTCCCACCCCAGTAAACAGCCTCCTCATCCATCCAGAGCTCATGCCTGGAAGTCATCCTTGACATCCACACCATCCTGGACCAAAGTTGACAAATGATGTCTTCACAACATATGAAAGCCTCATAATCTACAGCCTGGGAAACCAAAACATAACCCACTAAACTAACCATCCCTGAAATAGATGTTTAATAGGTACATCAGTGTGATTCAGTGCCTGCTATTCTACTAGAAGATAAATTGACTCTTCCACCACTTACCTAAAGTATGTGGTAGTTCACTCAGAAAACAAACCCCAAAAGGGGAGGGGGGTGGGTGAGCCCGACAAGTCTAATCACTGAGAATGTGCTCTCTGAGCCCAGGACTCTGGCATTATGGGTCTCCTAAGAATCTTAGAAGGGGCCTAGAATCAGAGTTAAGACTTCATTATAACACCAAACTCAGATATCTAATCCCACTCTCCATATTTAATTCTTTAACAGAAATATATTCCCCAGAGAAATAATGTATTATTTCTTTTATGTTTTGTCTACCTTTTTCACAAGGTTGTTGGGCAGTAGGATGGGTAGAAGCAGACGGATAAAATGATAATTTACGAAAAGCATTCTGAAAACTACAGAATATTATGGACTTCCAAAGGTTAAGGGTTTATTCTATTTTGAAAGAGGGTGACCACAGCAATGTCACATATCATTCACAGTAAGAACATTCTTGTTGACCCACTGGACTCTCTAACAAAATACTTTTTTTACCTTCTGAAGCACTGGCTTCCTGGCATGAAGCAAGGAGCTCCATCCTCTCCTTGGTGAGATTTCCTTGTATGGTAATACTCCTGCTCAGAAGAGCTACAGTGACTTTTAAACTAAGGTGCTCTCCAGCCACCAAATTCTCTGTAAAGTTGTAAGAATATCTAGGGAAAAAACATAGGGAAGAGACATCTGAAAAAATTACTCCAAATCTTGTTAGAAACAGTAAACCACTAGATAATCACAATTCCTTCTTAAGGGTCTATGTCTTTAGAATCTCAAATACAGAATAGTAAACTGCAGACCGAAGTACATGAAAATTAGGAACTATGCTGATTATGACAGTGACCATTTGCTCTATGACGGAAGTTGTAGAGTCTTGCAAGAGAAATTTATTGAAGAAGTTATTTTTACTCACTGGGACTTGACCATTACTTATGGGAATAATTAGCTAAGAAATATTTTTACTGCTTCTGCTCTTGGCTCCGCCATGTATAGCTTACATACTGGCACGTATGCGGCAGGTGTTTGTTGCATATTGACTAGAGTATTGCAAACAATTGCTCATAAACTTTGATAGCATTTTGTCTTTGATAAGTCATCAAAACATTTCATGCTTCATAATTTTCTTGTCAAAATGTCTAGCAGTATTTAATGTAAAACTGCATCACTGAAAGACAAGTAAATGCCTTGACCCCAACACAGTCAAGGCTTCATCTTCTTTCACGTGAACTTAGCCAAGCTGACCCTCAGTACCTCAAGGGTGACCTAAGATAGAGGTCTGTGTTGTGCACAGTTTCCACAATGACAATCTCTTCCATCGGTTTGACACCTTCGACAGCTGTCCCACTGATGATGACAACTTCATCACCAGGCTGCCAGTCTACAGCATCTTCTAGAGCCAACACTGTGTCTTGGGCATGGGCAGCCACTCGAAGATGGGTGACAATGACTTCTGGTAGTGAACCTAAAGTAGCCCAAGGAAAACTTGTTTAGACATTTGAATAGTTAATAAAAATGTTATTCAGCCAAAGCATTCTGTGAAAGAAGAACGTGGGAAAGCAAGCTTCAGGATATATAAGCACCAAAATTTGGATATTTGTTTTGTTTTGTTTGACATTAATGTCAATAAGAGTAATCCAGGATAGAGAATAGTAAGATGTAAAAAGCACTGGAGTCAGACTAAATCTGCATTTGAATCACAATCTTGCCACATTCTAACCAAGGAATTAGGGTAATAGACTTACTGGTAGGCTACAGCTTCCTCGGTTAAAAACAGAAATGGCAAGGTCTTCCATAGTGGGGTTTTAGGAGAATTAAAAAGAGATAATATATGTATGAAACGTCTAGGTTGGATGCTGCCTCTTGATACACATAGAACTTCAAGGTAAGTTAGTCTTTTCTCTCCCTTCCCTGCATCACACTATGTTTTGAGGGTGAATTTTTAACCACCTCTTTTTTATTCCAAATAAAAACAAATGGTTCTTAAACCCTCTAATGTAGTTTCCATAACTACTTTCCAATACAAAGACTTCAACTCCACAAATAAGATACGTAGAATGGAAAATCACAATTACCTTACAATGAATTTCACTAAGTTTTGTTCTATTAAATGATCCCTTCAAACTCTAAAACTAGGTCTATCTAGGATATAGGACTGTTACCCAAAACTGAAGAAGGAAGTTCTTGGGACTCCGGATATCTTAGTTCCTATTACACCCTGGTATATCCACCTGGCCATACCCACACCAGACACTAGTCTTTCATTATGAAAGATTCAAGAAAGTCGTCTGTCCCACAGTTTACTCTGGCCTTTTTCTGCCAAGATATTTTTCAAGACATTATTTTAAACAATACTTTAGAAAAACATGGCTTATTCCCCACTCCTTCCTCTTTCCTTAGTATATTTCCTTCCTCCTTAGCAATAGATCATAATTTACCTTTAGCCCACAGCAAGTGACTGTCCTCCCTTGTTGCACTAAAGTAAAATAATAATACTTGAATCTCTAGCAACAGAGGTGGTCGACAATAAATCATTTTCAAATTATTTTAAACTTTTCTCTTTATTTTTCTCTCTGTATGTGTGCACTTGTACCAATAACGCTGTTCTAAGCTTAGTAAGGTCTCCGGGTTAATGATGTAATTTCTGAAGTTTACTTGGGCGATAATTTTATCTTAAAAAAATTTACAGAGTTCAAAATTCCTAATTATAGGGCAGGTGAAAATTAAGACATAAATCATCCCAACAGAAAATAATTTTAATTTTATTCCTTGTTTGTATATCTTAACCTTTGGGAACGATAAAATGAAATAAACTTTATTTAAGTGTATATGCATGTATATGTGAATTTTTATGAGCCACCACTGAAGGTCTACACAGAAAAATCTCTAGCAAGCACAGAAAAATGTTTATCAAAAACAAAATGCGGCCAAAGTTTGCGATTAATCGTTTGCAGGACCCCAGTCAACACGTAACAAATACCTGCTATGTACCTGCCAATATGTAAGCTCCACATGGCAGAATCAAGAGTAGAAACAATAAAAACATTTCTCAGCTAATTATTCCCATAAATAATGGTCAAGTCCAAATGACTGAAAAAAATCACAGAGAATCTTTGAAGTACATTTTACCTATTAATATAAGTTTATGTCCTTTGAAGTATAGGCGGAACCTCTAGAAAGCAGTAAAATTATTTCATAACTTATTCACTTTCATTACAAAAATAACGTCTCTATAGGATGACTAAAACATCAAGCCTGGGTGCTTCATGCGTGCTGGCCTTTCTAGTGACATGAAGACATCAACGTTTGGATGAGCTGCCCTTATCTGAAACTCAAGATGTGAAAACTGTTGTAATCATAACCTGAGCTAGACCTTCAACAATAGCTTTTATTTTTTTAACCATCCTCATTATGTTCTTAAAAAAAAAAAAATTCCACTAAGTTATTTTAATTATAGCTCTTCTTTATCCATTAGCCTACAGTATTTCCCTATAGTACTCAGAAATAAAGCTGCAAATTCCCTCCTTGACTGTCAAGACTCTGTACCCCTTTGCCAATTTTGTTCCTCCAACCTGTGTGCCCTGCCTTCTTCCTCTCTCCTCTCCTCCAGAGCACAGCTCAAGCCCTGCCTCTTCAGCTGAATTCCAGGGAACACTTCAGCCTCCTCCTGAAGGTGCTTATCTTTGCCTCCTCCAGACCTTACAGTGATGTGAGGGCCTTACCTGAGCAAAATCTTGATGCACCTCTGGAATTTAGGCATAAATACCCAAGCATGTGTGGGTAGTCTGTGGATTTATTTGAGCTCCTTTGCCTGGGAGAGGCAGCATGGGCAAAGAACCAGATAGGAAAAAAAGGATGACAGTAAAGACTTGGGGTCTGTCTTGAATAGAAGCCCTCGAGGTCTCTTGACCACATGGACCCCTGGCTGAACCTGAGGGAAGAACATGAAAGAACTCTCCAGATGGCTTTTGCGCCTGATGCTCCACCGCCTGAGAGTCTTTTGCCATCTCATTCTACTGCATTAGAACACAATTCCAGGAGAAGCCTGCAAGATTTGCTGACTACTCAAAGCCTCTGTCGCATTTTTTTGGAACACCATGTCCCTCTCCTTCCTAGCATTTTTAACACGACTGCAATTTGACTTCTATCACCATAATTATCTTTGTCTCTCCCTCTAAACATAACAGCAAAAATCATAACCTGTGTCTGCTCACCATCACAGCACCAGTGCCGGTCACAGGTATAACAGGTGCTCCATAAATATGCCCTGAATGGTGAAAATCATGAATGAGACGTGGAAAAACAAGCACCCCAACATTTTGGTATCCAAGTGACCAGATGGGACCACGAGTGGTATGGAAAGACAGTCACCATATGGAACACAGTGCACTTCCACACTTTGGGGTTCAATCACCCAGGGCAATGCAGGCCTGCACCCTTGGGTTCACGAGCTCACTGTCCTCATGGCAGTTCCAGCAGCAGAGGCCGGGCTGAGGCAACCCCCACCACATTCCTGAATGGATGGCAATGACCAAGGAGACCAAAATAGGAGGAAAGCGCACAAATGAAGCCTTATGGTAGTTATGGTAGGCAGACTGGTTGATGAACTTGTGTGAAATATGTGGTGAGAAAACCCCCAAGAAGGTTAAAAAGAGAAAGAGGTTCTCAGAGAGTTGGGGCCATGGGCAATAAACTTGTTATCACTGTGCTGATCAGGCACAGAGAAGCCTGGGGAGCCCTCAGTTATATGACAACAATCCATAGCCAGCACCATCTCTCTCGGTGCTCAGTCATTCACAGTCATCACAGTGCACGTCTCATCTCCCCTTCCCAACTCAGGGCCACCGCCTTCTGTTCACTTTGTTTATGTCACAGTTACAAACACAGTCACAATTGGCCATTGACTCATAGTGGTTTAAGCTAATATTTTAAATGTTTTCTTCCAGACAATCACATGTTAAACTCTCTTCAGATATATATCCAAGTGAGTACATAATATTTGATCTGTAAAAGATGAGGAAAAACCAATACAAACACTTGTCAAGAATTTAGAATAAACCAAATCTATGCTAAGTAGTTGCATTCTAAAGTAAGAACTGTGTGATTTGGGAGGGTTGTTATTTATTTTAACAGTCCATTCAGAGAGGAAACTAGGATTCTTCAAGGACAAGATCACGTATAATAAATATCAGTACCTACTTCTGACATTGGGTCTTCTGAATCCAGGACCAGAGAACTAGATGAGTAATGGAATTCCTAGCCTCTGGAAATAGCTATAAATTAGCTGTACCCAATTAGCTTTGATGCTCAAAAAATTATATTCATTACTTCACAAATGTTATTTAAATGTCACACAAGGTGCAGTGACTGACTTCTCTGATGAAGAAAGTATTGCGTACATTTTGAATGTGAGTCATTGCTATTCCTAGAACTCTTAAAACCCAAGTTGGGCAGCTCTCTTCCTTTCTGTACCACAAATCAAGGAAAATAAAAAATAAAAATACAGTTTAAAAAGCTCAATAATTTATGAATATGCTTAAATGGAAAAGGACTGTGCTTTTAACTTATAATTTAAAACAATGCATAACTACTTTGAGCTTTCAACATTGACCTGTTAACCAACCAACTACTCATTTACTCCCACTAATGACTTCTACTCATAATTGTATTTCCTACAAATTATTGTTCAAGCGTTACAATGTCATTCATCCATAATTACACTGTCCCAGAGAACCATTCTTACCAAATGGGCATGGAGAGAAAGAAAATAATCTTTGTGGGTTAACACACTTTAAAATCACTAATTGTCTTCTGTTTGTTTATTCTGTGGGACTTCAATCTTTATTCTAAGTGAATAAGTGCTGAGACCTTTCCAAATCATTATAAGAGAGAGAAAGAAAGAAAGGGGGACGGAAGAAGAAAGAGAAAGAATCATTTCATTAAAATAATGTTCATATAAGACTTTAAAAATAAAAGAGCTAGAAACATTTGCCTCAAGTATACACAAATTATTTCCTCCTTATTTCTGGAGGCAGTTTGACCATGATCCATAGCAAAACAATGAAGACTATCTATGCGTAAAGGAATATTTTATCAAGCACTAGGAAAACAAACATAAAAGGAGCAGAGTTGCTTTCCTTCAAGGGCCATGAGCAGGACAGGAAATAGACAAAATTCAGAAATGCATCCTACTAAATGTTAAGACAGAGAGACAGCCAGTGTTTGTGGACACAGACGTGGAGCACCTCACTCACACCAGGGAGTGTTTGTTTCTGGGAATTCTTCCCAAAAGAGGTGGTAACTGAGCTGGGTTTTGAAGGATAAGCCAAAGTGGGCCGGCTA